GTCAGTGTCAGTGTCCACGTCAGTGTCAGTGTCCACGTCAGTGTCAGTGTCCACGTCAGTGTCTGTCTCTTATACACATCTAGATGTGTATAAGAGACAGGTGCAGGTGTGCGGGCTCTCAGGCAACTATAACCTGCTGGGGTTCGGTGACGTGCTCGTGCCTGGGCTGCTCATCGCATTCCTGTACTACTTCGACCTCAGCACCCGGCCTCACAGATGGCCGCTCTACTTCACCGTCAACATTATAGGTTAGTTACCTGTCGTGTTGATGTAGGTAATGTGTTTAAAAGTACATAAATATGTAGGTATTGTAGGTATGTATGGGCATTTAAATATGTAGGTATAGTATTTAGGAGCATTTATTTATCTAGGGAAGGTAATCTTAAACTTCCAGCCATAATAATGGCCGCTCTACTTCACTGTCAACATTATAGGTTAGTTACCTGAGTCATGTTAATGTAGATAATGCATTTAAAGATAGTTCAATATATAGGTATTGCATTTAAAAGTATAGGTAATGTAGGTATTTATGATTATTTTTTATGTGTAAGTAATACACTAATATTAAGATCCCTTCACCGCCAACATTATAGGTGTGCCATCTGACTCATGTTGATGTAGGAAATGCTAGTATTTAAATATGTAGGTGATGTATTTAGAAGCCTTTATTTATGTTGGTACATGCATTTAAAAGTACTTTAAATATGTACTGGACGTATTTTGGAGCATTTATTTATGTAGGTACGTAATGCACTTAAAAATATTTATATATGTAGGTATTGCATTTAAAAGTATTTAAATATGTAGGTAATGTATATATGGTCATTTATTTATGTAGGTAATGTGTTTTAAATTCTAATAACGTATGCCCGTTCATTACTATAACGTGTAAGAAGACAAGTAGTTATTGCTAAGTATGTCGTGTTTTAATTGTCAGTAATGTATGCTTTTTTATAATACAGGAAACAAAATATAGTTGTTATTTCTAAGCATATGCGGTTGTTCCGTTGAAAAGTACGTAATAAGTGAAAATCGAGTTAGTGGTCATTTGATTCTCAATGGTCGTTTTTTATTCAGGAATAGACGAGAAATTTAAATGTGCTTCATTATTTAAATGATCTATTTTTAAATTGTACCTACTGCACTATTTTTATACTATTATACTTACTATTTTTATACTGTACCTACTCAGTGCTTACTGAGTACTGAGTCGCGCTTCTACACTGCATCAGTGTGGACAGTGTTATTTATTAGACTTCTTAACCATGATATTTATACTGAACTTTAGGTGCTAATGATATTTGTATTGTATTTCTCTTATTTGGTATTTTTTCGAGAAATGTTGACGAAAATTACGATATGTTTGCGAATGCGTTTACTCTAAAACTATTTCAAATATATATTATAATTATATTTGAAAGTATTTAGAAATGTGTTCACATCAGTGTCAGTGTCCACGTCAGTGTCAGTGTCCACGTCAGTGTCAGTGTCCACGTCAGTGTCAGTGTCCACGTCAGTGTCAGTGTCCGCGTCAGTGGCAGTGTCCGCGTCAGTGTCAGTGTCCGCGTCAGTGTCAGTGTCCGCGTCAGTGTCAGTGTCCGCGTCAGTGTCAGTGTCCGCCAGGGAGCGTCTGTGGCTGATGAGCAAAGCAGCCGCGCCGCTCACTCGCTGACCCTTGTTCTACTTCTACCCCTACCCCTACTCTACTTCTACTCCTACTCTAATTCTACTCCTGCCCTACTTCTACTCTACTTCTACTGCTACTCTACTTGTACTGCTACTCTACTTCTACTGCTACTCTATTTCTACTGCTACTCTACTTCTACGTTACATGCTGCTATATATATCCGTGCTGTACATGCTGCTATATATATGCGTGCACTACACAGCGTACAGCGTGGGGCTGTGCCTGACGTTCCTGGCGCTGTACATGATGCGCAGTGCACAGCCCGCGCTGCTGTACCTCGTGCCCTGTACGCTGCTCGTCACGGTCGTCATCGCGGCGCTCAGGGGCGACCTCGCCGCCATGTGGGCGCCTGCTGCTGCACCGGTACTCTTATCATTGTTATCTTGTTATCTTTATCATCGTTATGGTTGTTATCATCATAGACCTCGCCGCCATGTGGGCGCCTGCTGCTGCACCGGTAATGTTATCATTGTTATCTTGTTATCATTACCATCGTTATAGTTGTTATCACCATAGACCTCGCCAGCATGTGGGCGCCTGCTGCTGCACAGGTACTGTTTCCAGCGTTATTGATGTTATCTTTACCATTATTATCTTTGTTATCATTAACATCATTATTGTAGTTATCATAAACATTATTATCTTTGTTATCATTAACATCATTATTGTAGTTATCATTAACATCATTATCTTTGTTATCGCTACCATCATTATGGCTGTTTTCANCACCGTTATAGTAGCAGCAGTATCCACAAGCACTTCGTTGAAGACCATAACAGCCCTGTTCCCAACAACATATCTGACTGTTTCTCTGTAATTCATTCTTTTTCTGAAGTATTAGACCTTAGAATAGCGGAGACAATAGCTATTAGACAAAATAATCCGTTCATCAATGTAAAATACCAAGAGATGTCAAATTTCCTCAATTTGTATAGATAAAATCTGATCTGATATTTAATGTATTCTTATCTGAATTTCTATTCTTTCCAGATTATCATCTTATTTACTCTGATCATGGCTAAAGTGTAGATAGCCGAAACGTTAGAATATATGGATTTTTATTTCAGAACTGCGATCGTGTCTTTTTTATCCAGAATCATTATTCGACGCCTAAGTGTAATTGAAAAGGAAGTTTTTAGAAAACTTGAAAAACTGTTGAAACTCTATATATCATTAACATCATTATCTTTGTTATCGTTACCATCATTATGGTTGTTATCATTACCATAATTATAGTTATTATCATTACCATCATCATTGTAGTTATCATCGCCGTCATCATTATGTTTGTTATCATCGCTGTCATCAATGTAGTTATCATCGGCATAATCTTTAATTTTGTTATTATCGTCATCATCATTGTAGTTATCATCGCCGTTATCATTGTGTTTGTTGTTATCATCACAGTTATCATTGTGTTTCTTGTTATCATTGCCGTCATCATTGTAGCTATCATTATCGTCACCATAATAACTATTGTCATTGGCATCATGATTATATTTATTATCAATATGTTTTTCACCATCTTTATTATTTACTCATCTAATTGATTAGTACATTTCTTATCATAATCTTGATTATGAATGTTAACATCTTCATGATTTTGTTAATTATCTTCTACAAGATTGGCATTATTTCCACGATCATATTTTTTTAACTTCATCACTGCCATTATAATCATTTATAAATATGATAATTATTATCTTTATCATTAATTTAATCTCTCTTTATCTCATCACATTCAGTATCGTGTATAATATCATTTTCATCATTACTATCGTTGTTATCATTGTCTTCATGGTTACTCTCTGCAATTTATTCACCGCTTATCATTGTCTGTAAGTTTGTCTTCATTATCATCTTTTTTTCTGGCTTTACTTGCTTTATTATCTCTGCATAACCATTACCTTGCTTCATTACCTTTTCATTGCCATCATTTTTCTTCATTATCGTTGCATTATCACATCTTACTTTATTATTGTCACATTGTCGTTACCTTCGCTTTATTATTACCTTGCTTCATTATCATATCACTATCATTATCTTATCAGTTATCACCATCATTATCTTATCACTGTCATTATCTTATCACCATCATTATCTTATCACCATCATTATCTTATCACCATCATTATCTTATCACCATCATTATCTTATCACCATCTACTGACGTGCGCTTGTCTCGGCAGGACGAGGCGCTCGACAAGATACATTATCTTATCACCATCATTATCTTATCACCATCTACTGACGTGCGCTTGTCTCGGCAGGACGAGGCGCTCGACAAGATACACGACGAAGGCGACGACGCGGCTGCGGGGGACCACGGGACCAGGGATGACGTGCCTTAGTGGGGTTACTGGTGACAGGGGTGACGGGTGACAGGTTGACAGGGTAGGTTGAGGGTTGTCAGGGCGAATAAATGACAGGTGAAAAGGTGACTGGGGTTACAGGTGGAAGGGTGACAGGCGAAAAGGTGAAGGAGCGACAGGTGAAAGGGTGACAGCTAAGTGAAGGGGTGACAGTTGAAAGGGTGAACTGCTGTTAAGTGAAAGGGTGAAGGGGTGGCAGGTGAAAGTTTTGAGTGGGTGGGGTGAGGGTTGATAGATTGAAGGAGGTGACAGGGTGACGGAGTGAAAGGTTGAAGGGTGACAGGTTGACAGGGTGACAGGTAGACAGGTTGGCAGGTGTGACAGGTAGACAGGTTGGCAGGTGTGACAGGTTGACAGGGTGGGTGTGGCAAGGAAGGGTAGAAGAGCAGGATTCCAATACGACGTCCTAGGATGGGAAGGACGTGGTCTGGTGTAGGATCTCTCCTAATAATTGAAGTATATATAATATAATGATACATGACATCATTGACGTGGCTAAATGATACATGTTGTTGAATATTAGTAGCCATTGATCTTATATTGGACATATAAACAAATAATATATTGGATAAATGAACAATATATATCCAATATAACCTTGATGTTATATTGGATATATTAACGGATTATATATTGGATATATGAACAATGTATATCCAATAAAACGTTGATGTTATTTGGATATATAAACAACATATATCCGATAAAACAATAATGTTATATTGGATATATAAGCATTATATATTGAAAATATTAACAATGTATATCCAATAAAACGTTGATGTTATTTGGGTATATAAACAACATATATCCGATAAAACATTAATGTTATATTGGATATGTATTGGTAAAATTAGCGCGTTTATATACGCGATAATTTCAACGCATCACTAAATATTTAGTGAACCAGGCATGAAGTTGTCTGCATGATACTACCATGACTAAATATTTAGTAACCATGCATAGTATCAATGGTATTCAGTAATGGTATATACTACCACCCAGTGAAAATTTACAGACGCGGCAGCTTCTGATTTGCATTACCAGAAGCTGGGGCGACTCTAAATTTTGTTAGGGTATCTAATTACTAGATATTCAGTGCATGTTGCTACCATTACTGCTACCATTATACCGGCGATACCACGACTGTGTTCATCATAAGGCTAATCTATTCACTGGGCGATGATTTTTAATCATTGGATTCAGAATACTTTGCTGCTTATCAAACGTTCTGAATTTAGAATGAAATGATTATAGGCATTAGTCGGTGATTGTAGTTATGTGACAATCATTGTACTTACGTGGCAATCATTGCACTACGAGGGCAATGATTTTTCCCGCGAACATTGATTGTGCTCTGGGTGTAATGATTGTACTAGGAGGCAATGATTGTGCTAAAGAGGAATGATTGTGCTCAGGGACAAGGAATGCATCTAAGGGTAATGATTGTACTTGGCGGTAATGATTGTAATGATTGTTTAGCCTCATTTTCGACGCTTTCCGTATATTCAATTCAGTATAGATACGTAAAATCTTTGATCAAAACAACGCAAATTTAAAAGTTTTTTTTCTAAAGAAATAAAATCTAAAAATTATTTATTAGTTTCCAGCCTGCGTAAATTTTTTTGTATTAGCGAAATTTTACTTCGCTGCTTATCTTTTGTTTTGGATTTAACTGTCGTTACTGAATTTTTCTAAAAAATAGTAGGTAGATATTGTTTATATCTTTCAAGGGTTGGTTTGAAGGAAGAATGTGAAATATTTAATTTTTTCATCTTACGAACCTTATCATTTCGATCATAATTGTGTATGATAATCCAAATTTAACTACTATTATTGAAATTCGGTAAGTTCATTGTTGAAAATAGTTTGGTCTAAATGATACTAAAACCAAAAATTGAATTGCTTATGGACAATCTTCCATCTGAAAAATTGAGTGCTGCTAAAGCTTTAGTAGGTTTGAACCCCTGGCTTCTGATCCATTCCTTGAACCTTAAACTTCTAAGCCTTTCTTTGAACCCCTGACTTCTTTGGCCTTCCTTGAAGCCTTTTTTTTGAACCCCTGACTTCTTTGGCCTTCCTTGAAGCCTTTTTTTTGAACCCAGATTGCATTTCCTAAATATAGGATTGCATTTCCTAAATATAGGATTGCATTTCCTACATCTACGATTGCAATTCCTGTAGAGAAGCGTGCTGAATAGTACAAGTTTTTGTATTTGTTGTTTCCTGTGTAGGATAAAGGTTATCCTAGGAGTTAGTTTATCAGGGTTTTTAGGATTATTATGTGTGTTTTGCATTTGTTCATATATACCATATGCTATGGCTGTAAATCACCCATGCACTTGTTTTTCCCTATACTTTCCATCGCACAATTTAATTGGCCTTGATCAACTATAATATATTTACTTCAATTTTTTATACAAGTGCTAAATATTTCGACTTGGCTTGTTTGTTTGAGGAATTTGATCGATCTAAGCTGTAATGTTATTTGATTTATTTATTTCAATGTTATCGTAAGTTTTTGAAATGTTCAAGTTAATAATATCTCACAGAATGATGTTCACTTTGATCATAATAGATGCGAAATAACATAATATTAGGTAATATTGTTATGTGAAAAAATGATTTTTTTTTAAATGAAAATTAAAATTTAGAGATGACCATTAAAACGTACAGAATCTCTTCCGCGAACAAATTCGTCCGCTTATAATAACTTTAGAAAATAAGACACTGTCGGTTATCGCTTATTTATTATAGATCCATGATCTCATGGAATTTTTATACAATAATCTAGCATTTCTAACTGATTTCCCGAGTTTTTCTTAAGTTCCTCAGCAATAAATAGCAAAAATTCGGAAAATGTAGCAATAAATGGCCTTCTAGAATCCGTCTGTTCACGGAATAATTCCCAGTGAAAATTTACAGACGCGGCAGCTTCTGATTTGGATTACCAGAAGCTGGGGCGACTCTAAATTTTGTTAGGGAAGTGCTGTTCATAGTGTGTTTACTTATATATATTTTGGAAACATTTTTCAGTTCGTTGATTGCTACAGGGAATTCGCGGATGCTGTTAATATTGAAATTATTTTTAGCCTTTTATAAATTTTGAAAGTAGAATCTGTCGCTATGGCTTTGCGTCAGGTTGTTGCTTCGCTTTGCTCCTGGGATTTGGAAGCCATTTTATCCACCACTCACATCCACCTCCATGAAATTAAGATCATGTGGTTAACCATTAAGATAATGAGTTACATCAAAGATATTTCTCGTGTACTTAGATCATGATTTCAAAATGATTACCTGCAATCCTTACGAGTGATTGAGTGAATTATTCAATATTGGCGTCATTTCATATTGGCTACATTCAATATTACTGTAGCCATATTTATTAGCATGGATATTATTGGCCTCGCTTCTGCCATGCGTTCGGCAATATTTCAAAGAAATGTAAAATATTGAAACATATCCTTCGAAATTTTCCGCGTCAATAAATATTGAATGTGAACGAATCGTCATGAGTTCATTGTCTAAATAACGAATTTCAGGTATCGTATTTTTCAATAGCATCGGCTTCTGGATTTACGACATCGTAATAAATTCCTGCTTCGTGCCTGAAATCATATTCGAAAATCATGATTTTGTTCTTCGAATTTCAATGTGTATCATTTAATAAATCTCTACCTATACAACTAAACGGATTATATGAACTTTTGATCAGAATTTTTGTGGCGTAAAAATAGCAATGGCGTTTGAAAAGTTTCTACGACTAGTTTATAACTAGGAATATTTTTTGAAACGTGTTAATGGGGTTTGATATTTCAAGTTGAATGTTTTAAATAACGATTCAGCGATACATGATAAAAAAAATAAGATGGAGATCACAAGTCGTGTAAAATAATTTGTTCTCTGCTTATTTCTAAAATCAGAAAATAGTTTTCTGGAATGGAGATTTACATGAACTGAGTTTACTACTTATTGAACAATTTAAATAGTTTTATCCGAAAATACCGTGTAAATTATGTGCTAGAGGACACTCTTTTCTACGTGAATCTTTCGCTATAGATGAACAATCTTCCATCTTCTATAGATGGTGTACAGCAATAATGGTCGGCAATTAGTGACAATGTTATCGACGTGCATGCCATTATTGCTAATATTGATACCCTAATTGATGCTAGTGATGCCGTGTTATTTTTGAATTATTTATTTTGCCTTGTTATATTGATTGAAATGATGCTCTTGACGCTTCATTTCGTCATCAAGTGGACATTTTTTCATCATTTTCGCTACATCTGCAAGTTATTAACTCCGATTGTAGGCAGCTTTTTTGCACTTATTTTTTTAAAGTATTTGGTATCTATATTCAGCTATGTCTTAAGTTATTGAAGTCTCAGACTTACTACATTGTATATATCACCTGCTCTCTATTGGGATGATCCAAGCAAAAGTGAAAAGTGCATCGCTATTTAGACAAAGCTTCGCTCATTTCTCTCAGTGATGGTTTATTAGCGGTAGCATGAGTAACCAGTTAAGGTAGGAATAGCATTGGTGGCGGTAAATGTATTGGTAAAGTACGCAACTCTCTTTATCAAAGCTTTAGGTAGGAATAGCATTGACGACGTAAATTTCGCTAGCAGCGTCAACGGAGGTATAATGTACAGAGCAAAATTAATAAATTCAGGAGTCTCTTACAAGGAAGAAGGTATAAAAAGTACAGAAGGATTAGCAAAGAATCCTGAAATAAACGGTAAAACAATAAAAATTGCAAATAAAAGATATAAGAAACGAAACCTCATGAATGAAGAAACTGTCCTGATCCAACAACTTGAACAAAATAATGTTGATTCTGTCTTTGCGACATTATTTTTTTACTTTCGTTTTTATTGTAATGAATTGTTTGCTAAATATTGCAATTTATGCACTTAAATAATGAAGCCTTGAGTATTATGACTGTTTTTGGCATCTCCGTTTGTAATATTGTTGGAATGTTGAAATAAAATTCAGGGTTTGGAACTATTTCTTATTTCCCTTTATGTTTTTTATCTCGACTCGCAAGTTAGGAAATATTCTACTAAACTTATACGAACTTACCAGTGAATACAGCGTTTTAAAACAAATAGTAAATTAAAATTAATATTATACAAAATTATACTAATTATTAATATGCAAACTAATATAATATACAGCGTTTTTCTAATGATATAATGCACGTTGTTTTAGTTAATTCTTTGTGTTTCGTTTGCAATGAAGTGCTACTTATGTTATAACAAGTGCAATGGCACAAAGTTATTATAAATACGTGGATTAAAGTGAAGCATGTTTATTAATTGAAGCATATAATATTATTTGGAGTAAATTGAAGCAAATATAAATCGCGTTTATAGGTCATAGGCAGAGCTGGGCAGCGCTACTTTGAAATGTAGCGGCCGCTACCGCTACATGCTCTAAATGTAGCGGGCGCTACCGCTATACTCACTAGATTGTATCGGTCGCTACCGCTACATTAAAATGTAGCGCCGCTACAATGGCCCAAATTATTGTAAATCTCTAAATTTTTATTGTTCTGCAATTGGGATTTACTCATAAACATTTAATGATAATAAAACATTTTCAAAACATATCAATGCAACTTTATTGCCATTAACCTAACGGCCCGAACTAGTAAGGGTTAGATACAGTAAATAAAAGTTAGTTATTTTTATGTTTTACCTTCCCTACATGGATGTCTACTTTAATCTACCAATCTCAAAAATTATCCACATATACATATAAAAATCAGTCTTTTATTTGTATCTATATGTGGATAATTTTTGAGATTGGCAGATTAAAGTAGACATCCATGTAGGGAAGGTGAAACATAAAATTAACTGTGTAAAAATAACTAAGCAAACTGAAAAATTAAAAAATACCTGTAAAATTTACTCGCCAGTCGCAAGCAAATTGAAATATAAAAATAACTAACATTTACTCGCAATCAAACAACACGGAATAATATTTCCATTTAGTTGAACTTTTTCTTTCAAAAATACCAGTATTTCAAAATGAACATCCGACAAGCTTGAACGCTTTGGCTTTAGGATATCCTTTACCAAGGAAAACAACCTCCGCAGTACTAGAAGGGATTGGAGTGTTGTTCAAGGAACGCGTCACAAGGAAATTAATGATTCAGGAGCAGATAGAGCGGTGTTTAGCGGACTTTCAAAATAATTGTTCACTAGTCGATCTTCTTCATTGATGTGACTGAGATTTCGCGTTTTCTGGAGTTCATTAAAGAACGAATCAGCATTCTCCTCGTCATCGCTGCTGCTGCTGGTAGCTTGTGTGATTGTATCAGAAGCTTCACATCAACCAGAGAGATCATTTTCTGTCTGACCTCTCTCAGTTTAGATTCGTAAAATCTATCAAGCAAAATCTAGTAATCTAAAAATTAATTAAAGTAAAATCTAAAAGTACTATTAAGTGAAATGTAAAGGCTTTATCTATATATGTAGCGGTAGCGCTGTAGCGGCAAAACCTCGTACCGCTACTTAAATATCTAGCGGGCGCTACCGCTACCGCTACAATTGCTTAAATATAGCGCCTCTACCGCCACTGAAAATGTAGCGCGCTACTGCCCACCGCTGGTCATATAGGTTGGCAATAATGGCACCATGCAGCCGTTAAAATTACTAAATTATTTATTAATGTAGCTATATATGATTGTGCAATTTTTATTTTTAATTACACAATTACGTAAAGTTTTTTATGCAGTAATGCGTGTAATTTAAAAAATAGTTCAACTTGAACTCAACTTGATATTTCGGTATTTTTAACGTTACGGATGCGAGCGGTCGCGATGAAACGCCGAGTTAAACTCGTCTTGTTCAACTTACAATTTAAATTTTGTTTAAATTTGAATATTTCAATCTTGTCGCAGCCTATGGATTTATTCTCAAATTAATTTAATTTTTTACGTTTGGAAGACATTGAATTGAGCATCAACTGAATTTTAGGAAACATTATTTATCAGTAACATTTTGACGGATAAATCTTAGAGTGAATTGAATATTGGCGAAAATTAATATCGCTTGCAGCTCTTAATAAGTGAACCATCCATTAAGAATATATATCTAACCATCTATACTTTTCATAAATAATATATCTCTCACCAATTCTGCAATTCTTTAGTAATATATCTCTCACCCTTCCTATCATTCATACGAAATATATCTCGCACTATTTCTATCACTTAAACGTAATATTTCATTGTGCAATAAAAACCGCATTAAGGTTTTATGTCTTTATGACAAAAAAAACTTAATAAGGTTATGTCAGAAACCTTATTAAGGTTTTATGTGAAGGTGAAATGAACTTATGTTTTTTTAAGGTGAAATACAAGTGAAATACATTGTCGACTGTGTGAGGAGTAAATGCATCATAACGTGAAAAGCTAACGCTTATCACAAGTGAGCATTTATTCATTGTGGGCAAATGTGGTGTGCAAACGCTCATTACATTTAGGCATCATAATGTGAATAGCAAACGGTCATCACATTAGCGGCACTGCAGCAGAGACTTTAGAATTCACGTGGGCGTCCGTAGCGGCGAGACTGAACTTTGATTGCAATACCAGAGAACCGGACACACTGCTGCTGCTGCTGCTGCTGCTGCTGCGGTTGTGCTGCTGCTGCTGATGCTGTGGTGCTGTGTTGCTGTTGCTAGTGCTGCTGCTGTGGTGGTAGTTCTGCTGCTGTTGTGGTGCTGGTGCTGTGGTATTGCTTCTGCTGTTGCTGCTGCTCCTTCTGTGGTGCTGCTGCTGCTGCTGTGGTACTGCTGCAGTGGTGAAGTTAATGGAAACCATCAGCTGTTCTGAACCTTTCCTAGTTGGCTAAAAGGTGATGCTACCGTGGTGATGCTGCTGTGGTGCTGCTGGTACTGCTGCTGCTGCTATTGTGGTGTTGTGCCGCTGTTTTTGTTGTGATGCTGCTTTTCCTTTTCCACCTGAAGCGCTGTTTTTGTCTCGTCAGGAACTTGACGACAGTTGGTGTTACTACTGTCGAATTTTATAGCTGCTGTTGTTACTATGGTTATTAATATTGATCTTATGTTGATCTTCTGGCTTTAATTATTTTTCTGTTGTCGGTGTTTTTAATTGCTTCTGCTGTAGTTCTTTTTACCTGTTGCTTATGCATTGTACCTATTATTGCTGCAGGTATCTATAAGTTATTCGTGAGCGATTCTTAACTACATACCTAATACATAGCTAATTTAACGTGGCTAGTAGCAACTGATAGGATAGGTAACTCGGTAACCATCAGATGACAGAGTAAAATGTGTAAGGTATAATGGTGAAAGGTATGCTACAAATTGTTTCCAAAGTGTCTCGAAAAATCTCCAGAGAAAATATCCCTTATGTATAATGTGAGGATGTGTTAGCAAGTATTTTTAGAAGAAGTGTTCTTCTGAGAAAGTTCCCCCTAGTGTAACCTGCTAAAATGTCCCCAAGTATGCCCAGGGAAACTTTTTGCATGTATGAATGGATAAAGTGTATTTAGAGTACACCTGCTGACGGAAATTAAAGACACCTGCATCTGAAATTATAGACACCTTTTTTGAAATTACAGATACTTTCACATGAAATTAAATGCATATGCATCTAAAATTGGAGACATATACACCTGAAATTAGAGACACCTGCATCTAAAATTATGAACACCTGCATCTGAAATTAGAGGAACCTGCATCTGAAATTAGAGGCACCTGCATCTAAAATTAGAAACACCTGCATCTGAAATTAGAATCACCTGCATCTGAAATTAGAGACACCTGCATCTCAAATTAGAGGCACCTGCATCCGAAATTAGAATCACCTGCATCTGAAATTAGAATCACCTGCATCTGAAATTAGAGACACCTGCATCTCAAATTAGAGGAACCTGCATCTGAAATTAGAGACACCTGCATCTCAAATTAGAGGAACCTGCATCTGAAATTAGAGGCACCTGCATCCGAAATTAGAAACACCTGCAAGGTAGAACGCGTTTGAGGGTAGAACGTGTTTGAGGGTAGAACGCGTTTGAGGGTAGAACGCGTTTGATGGTGGAACGCATTTGAGGGTAGAACGCATTTAAGGGTAGAACGCATTTGAGGGTAGAACGCATTTGAGGATAGAACGCGTTTGAGGGTAGAACGCGTTTGTGGGTAGAACGCGTTTGATGGTGGAACGCATTTTAGGGTAGAACGCGTTTGAGGGTAGAACGCGTTTGAGGGTAGAACGCGTTTGAGGGTAGAACGTGTTTGAGGGTAGAACGCGTTTGAGGGTAGAACGCATTTGAGGGTAGAACGCGTTTGATGGTGGAACGCATTTGAGGGTAGAACGCGTTTGAGGGTAGAACGTGTTTGAGGGTGGAACGCGTTTGCGAGCAGAACGCGTTTGAGGGTTGAACGCGTTACTGAGTTACTGGTTCATGTAAGGTGCAATAACGTATTCGGTAAAGCTCACCGCTTCTGCTATGGTCCTGGAGATAAGCTGTTTAAATTATTTAATGTCTTTGCATGATGATAGAGTTTATTTTGAACTAGCAATGAAATTTTCTGTTTATCAGTACAGCTAGCCACAACAATAGTACACCTAACAACAGCAGCACGCTTAATCATAGCAACATCACAGCAAGCAGCATATCCAGCAACAGCGGCAGCACTGTGAAAAACTAAAACAATAAAAAAAAACTAAAAAAAAACTAAAACTAAAAAACTAAAAACTAAAACAATAGCGATGAAGTAAGCAGTGTTAAATTCAGTTGTAACTAAGAAATCAACGACAGCGGTGGTAATAAAACTGAATAAATACTTCAAGTAAGCAACTTGCAGTCGAGATGAGGAAGCAACCGCCACCATGCATCAGCCATCAGCAGCAGCGGCAGCAGTGGCAACATGGGCAGCAGCGCCAGAAAAACATGCCCTCGTGTGAGTGTCTAGCCACGGAGGCATCAGTAGGGTATGGGCTGCGCTCTGACCCTCACTTGCTGCCCTCACCGTCCTCAGTTGGGTTCGGGCTCTGGTCTGACCCTCATCTCAAGCAACTGCTAGGACCTCACCGGCGCCAGTCGGCCCTACAGAGCCGGCACTTCTCTCAGGCCGGCCATGGGGCTGCTCTCACGGCCGATCTTGGCCGCCCTCTTGCTGCTCTGGGCACGGACGGCGCACGGCAGAGCTGAGCCCCAACCTGATCCTAAACCCCAGGACTACAGCACAGGTGAGCCCCAACCTGATCCTAAACCCCAGAGCTATAATAAAAGTGAACCCCGACATGGTCCTAAAGCCCAGAACTACAACACAGGTGAGCCCTTAACAGGGACTAAAGTCACTAAACCAATCAAACAGCGATGTGGACAATGATGCAGATTGGTGTGGGTTAGTGCAGATTATTGTGCGTTAGTGCAGATTAGTGTGGGTCCGTTCAGATTGATGTGGGTTAGTGCAGATTATTGTGCGTTAGTGCAGATTAGTGTTGGTCCGTTCAGATTGATGTGGGTTAGTGCAGATTATTGTGCGTTAGTGCAGATTAGTGTGGGTCCGTTCAGATTGATGTGGGTTAGTGCAAATTATTGTGCGTTAGTGGAAATTGGCGGGGGTTAATTCAGAATGGTGTGGGTTAGTGCAGATTATTGTGCGTTAGTGCAAATTAGTGTGGGGTTAGTTCAGATTGGTGTTAGTACAGATTATTGTGCATTAGTGCAGATTAGTGTGTGTCCGTTCAGATTGTTGTGGGTTAGTGCAGATTATTGTGAGTTAGTGCAAATTAGTGTGGATCAGTTCAGATTGGTGTGGATTAGTGCAGATTATTGTGCGTTAGTGCAAATTAGTGTGGGGTCATTTTAGATTGGTGTGGGTTAGTGCAGATCATTGTGAGTTAGTGCAAATTAGTGTGGGGTCAGTTCGGATTGGTGTGGGTTAGTGCAGATTAATGTAGAACTGTGAAAGCGAACTTTTCGAGTTAATACGTCTCGAAGGAAGTCTTCAGATATATTCATATTGATTTGCGATGCATTTCACCCTCACTGACAACAGTAAATGTATGTGGCAAATTCTGAGATTTCCACTAAATTGATGGCTGAATTCCTCGATAGTTGTTGCCGATAAATCGGACATAGATCGTACATGGCTTGCTCTTACTGGAAGATGTAGCTTCTAAATTTTTACCGTGCGGTAACAAACTACAGGATTTCTCTACCATCTTTATGAAATTGTACTAGTATATAAAAAGCATGCATCGAAAAGTTTATTCGCGATATTTGCCCATCCACAAAGACGATTACGTATAAGCAAATACTGCAACCCAAGTGTGGTCAAGCAATATGACTAGAATACAGGCTACATAGGGGCTCTAGACAGAATATTACTTCTGTATAATGTATTATATACAATCGTGATAGTTTGCTCATTTGTCGAGTGCGCATCCAACATAACTGTCGGGAAGGGATTTTACTGTGTCTAAAAACTGTAAATCTTTTTATGATGGAATCGTGAATCAATACAAACAGTGGGAATTGAATTCCAAAATAAAAATTCAATTTTTAATTTGGCGTATTTATTCAGAAGTTAACAAACAAAGGTTGCAACTGGCTTCTTATATACGTGTTACACGAGACTTCATACACGATAGTCGAACGGGTCATTGAATAATGTACTTTGGAATGTGATGTTGAATCAAAGTTGATTAAATGTTGATTTATCGCTATTTGCATTACTAAATTACTGTTGTTAGAAAATTATTAACGGGATTTAAGAAACAATTCAGGGATAAACTCACTGAGCAACATATTTGTAGTCAGTGCTTTATATTTTATTATACTATTTATGATAATTATTATCATCATAATTATGTTAATAATTATTATCATGATTATGATAATTATTATCATCATGATTATGATAATTTTTATAATCATGATTGGGATAATTATTATCATCATAATTATGGTAAGTATTATCAACAATACTATTAAAATTATTATCCTCACGATTATGATAATTATGTATAACTTACACTTGGGTCCACGCAACTTAGCTGGAAACTGATGGATTCGGGATTTTCGACACCTAATTATTAAAGGCACTAATTTTTAACGCACATCATGATTAGTTATTTAACTTATAAACCACAGCTCCTTTAACGATACAAGTTATTTCTTGAGTTGTACTTAAATGGGCTCAGTGAAATGACTAACTTGCAACAGTTCCATTTAATTTATCATTATTATCGATATGATATTTTTCAGTATTCACTGAACTAATTTGTTGGCAGTTACATTTAACCAGCAATACTGAATGAGTAGAATAGTTCTGTTCGTAAAGTGCATAATTAAATATAAGATTTAAATTACTCGTAATATCGCAGTGCAGACAGAACTTTCACTGAATTTAATTAGTTGTTGCTAAAGGCCCAGGTAGGGCATTTCAAGGTTTTATTTCAGGATTTTCATTCAAGTCCACACATTTCACAATGAATTTAATTCATATGATTCAACATTGCAAATCCCTAATATAGAACATTAAATCACTCCGCAATAAATATTACAGATTCCAAAAATTTAACATCAAATTCCTTCCTCATCAATATCACAAATCCTAAATATTCCTTTCTAGTGATACCGATCGGCTAGAAATCTTGTATTCGCTGCCATATTACCTATAAGTCGGAGCTGTGGTAAGTGCCTCATCCCTAACAAAATTTAGAGTCGCCCCAGCTTCTGGTAACCCAAATTAGAAGCTGCCGCGTCTGTAAATTTTCACTGGGTAACAAAATTTAGAGTCGCCCCAGCTAGCCCCAGCTTCTGGTAATCCAAATCAGAAGCTGCCGCGTCTGTAAATTTTCACTGGGATTGAACTCTGGATCTCAAAGTTAGGAGTAACGGTAAGGAAACTGCAGGACTTGGTGCTGATCTGTCTTGAAAATTATTAGAAATTTGAATATAGCAATAATTTATTTTTTATGTTATTTGTACTTTTCTATGCAATGTTTCGAATAGACCTATACTCATAATAACATACAAATAGGCATGTTTAGATTTCTACCATTCATAGAATGAAAGAAATATCACTTGATTTATTTGATAATATTGATTTCACATTTGAAATATATTAAACATGCAGTATTAAATGTTATTAGTTATAATGAATAAGATTTGTAGCTTTGGCTTGAATAAATCCCGACATAATGAGCAAGATTCCATTTAATATATAGAGAAATTTTATTATAATAAACTTAGTTTATTTAACAGTATAAATTAATAAAAAAGCAGTTGACCGTATACGTAGCATAGCTCTATATTGTCTCTAGAGATAATTTACTAATGATAATAGCAAGATCAATGAAGATAAATGAGAGATGAATAGATAGATTTATCAACTAATAAAGAAATGGTTACTACTTACTAGCAAGATAAATGAAGTAAAATGAATGCTGAATAGATAGATTTATCACTAACTTCATTAAATGCGTGGCGTCTTGCTGAAGACTTGGATTCATGTAGAGCGAGAGAGTGAAAGAGGAAGAGGGGCTTGTGTGAGTGACACAAGAGTTCCTTGTGTGAGTGACCTCAAATGCTGGGGCTGTGTAGCGCCTTGTGTATTGGCTACATGCACTAGTTAGTGTTCACTAGTGCACTATTGATCTCATCACAACACGCGCTAATCTTCACTAGCAACAGTCTGCACTATTCAACTCATCACAACACGCGCTAATCTTCACTAGCAACAGTCGGCACTATTCAACTCATCACAACACGCGCTAATCTTCACTAGCAACAGTCTGCACTATTGATCTCATCACAACACGCGCTAATCTTCACTTCACAATTGTTATCATCACAACACGCGTTATTCTTCACTTCACAATTGTTATCATCACAACACGCGTTATTCTTCACTTCACAATTGTTATCATCACAACACGCGTTATTCTTCACTTCACAATTGTTATCATCACAACACGCGTTATTCTTCACTTCACAATTGTTATCATCACAACACGCGTTATTCTTCACTTCACAATTGTTATCATCACAACACGCGTTATTCTTCACTTCACAATTGTTATCATCACAACACGCGTTATTCTTCACTTCACAATTGTTATCATCACAACACGCGTTATTCTTCACTTCACAATTGTTATCATCACAACACGCATGACTGTAATGAAAGGCCATCTAGAAATAGTAGGAGTGAATGAAAATAATACGTAAACATAATCCAAGTCAGCATTAAAGCATCAGTTCGATAATCAATAGTAATATCATATAATTTCAAATAGAAATCGTTGCTAAAATTAAAATTTCTAATGTTCTTCAAGTGTGAACAATGTCTGATAAAGTAACAACTTCGGCATGAATTTGCTTTTTCCTTGAATTAAAGGAAATTAAATTAAAGTAACTAAGATTAATTAAAGTAATATGCCTAAGCTTATTACTTATTACTAATAAGACATGCCTAATATTGAACATTTATTTCTATTTTTTACTGTAATTTAGCCCTTATTATCGACTAAAACCGTATATCATGTGTAAACCGTATATTTTGTGTAAACCGTATATATTCTTATTTATTAATCTTCTAAGAATATTTATTTGATTTTGCTTTTGTTATTATAAAATAATAAAATGGCCATTACATGTTTTGTAACTAATTATTGTGATACATTTTGCTTTACCACCTGGAACGGACAAACGTTGACCTATGGAAGAAAGGTTCTCGATTCTTTAAAGTTAAAAGTTTTATAATCTAGAAATTTACGGTCGAAGTCCGATCAAAGTTGCCTTGTCGAGAATGGTGCAACGTTGAACAGAGAGTTATTTGAGTCAAGCTTTGAACTTAACTATCTCTAGAATAAACTGAATAAGTTTCAAAACAAGCAATGGTTCATTTTTGTTCGTTTTTAATCTTGTACGCATGAATAGATAAAGGCACGAAGGAAATCACTAAACGGGTGTATGACTCCCAAGTGATCTCCTTACATTGCCGAAAGCACATCAATAAATTTATACTCTAAAATATCTTACATGATTACATTTAATTACTGTACATTCACTTCTCTGCTTGACGCAACAATGGCTCTTTTGTTCAACCTTTGCCCACTTCTCTCTGTGCAGCGGACTATGACTACAACGATTACGGAGACGGAGACTATTACACTAGCCCTTCGGAAGTAGTGCCTACAAGCCCGCCCGTTGATGTCGCAAGCTACGGCCTAAACTGCGAATTCGAAGGCAAAACTTATGCCGACGGCGAAAGCTTCGAGCCTGAGGCCTGCACTCGATGCACCTGCTTCCAAGGGGTCGTGAACTGTGAACGCGACCTGTGCAGCGAGAACACTTGTGCCGGAGTGCTCTGTCCAGAGATCGAATGCGAGAACAAATACGTTCCACTAGGTCAATGTTGTCCCGTTTGTCCAGGTGGGTTAAATTGCAGAATTTTTTGCATTTTCTTAATAGTTGTTTTCCTCTTCCTTTCTCTGTGGCGGTGGCCGATGGTTCCGATGCGCACCGTGAATTCGACGTGCAGACAACTACGATGAAGAGAATGGCGCGTATGACTATGAGCCGTACGAAGAATATCCGTATGAAAATTATGTAGATTATAATGAAGGGACCGAAACGGATACCGATCCGGTCGAAACGGATACAAACGGTTTCGACCCTTATGGTGCCTATGATCCGTACGTAGTGGATACACCAGGGTTTGATTCAGCGGCAACGGAAGCCCCAAGGTATGACCCGTACGCAACAGAGGCTCCAAGGTACGACCCGTACGCAACGGAAGCTCCAAGGTACGACCCGTATGCAACGGAAGCTCCAAGGTACGACCCGTACGCAACGGAAGCTCCAAGGTACGACCCGTACGCAACGGAAGCTCCAAGGTACGACCCGTACGCAACTCCAGCTCCTTATGACCCGTACGGTCGTGATCGATACGATCCGTACGACCCGTATGACAGACGTACAGAACCTGACACAACAACAGAACCACCAACTACTACGCCTACCACCTCTACTACTACAACCACTACTACCACAACAACCACTCCGAGACCTCGTCGTCGACCAGACCGAGAGCGGAATGGTCGGAGAAGAAATGGACGTCGAAGAGAACAAGGGGGTGTTAAAAGAGAACGTGGTGGGTTCAGTGAATGAAAAAGCGAGGTAGTAAAATTGTAAGTTGAACGCCGTTGAACTTTGTATTTCTTACTGTGAAAGATAATGGATTTTGAAGTTGATCTTGGTAAGTTTTTTTTGCTAGAATTCTTGCAGAGCATCGAAGTTGAGAGGATTATAATCCGATTAAAAACTGCGGCTGAAGTGGGAGCCTCGAAGTTGAATTCTATTCATTCATGCCTAACTATATCGATTAATAATGAGTGAAAAACAAAAATCTGTGATCCGAAAATTGAGACAGTCAAGTGTCTTGAACTGAGAATGACAAAACCCAATTATTTCTTGATTATCAACGATATATCATGATATATTATGAAATTATGCTATATTAACGGTGTTATCGTAATTATTAACAAGTATTTAGCAATATATGCGGCAAAGACTTTCTCAAGTTGAATAATGTAATATTTCTTTTGTTACAGAAGAGGGCCCCGACACTGTAGTATCTGCAGTAAGTAAACCATGTATACTTTATTATAAATTACTTATATACATGGTATCTCAAGGTTCTAATTTATATTTTTTTTAACATGCTAACGCTTTGTATATTATTCATATTTGCTAGTTTAAATCTGATGTAACAATTTTGGCTTTCATTTCTCGATTGAATAAAATTTCAGAAGAATATTATTGCAACGCTTGAGTTCTGTCACAAAAAATAGGCATGTATTGACGAAATCAGCCCTATTAGGTGTATGTGGACAAAAAAAACCTATTAGGTGTATGTGGCCGAAAACAACATATTAGGTGTATGTGTTTTTTAGATGTTTAATGTGTCTCATAGAAACACAAAGTAGCCATCCAATGTGTATTTAGACGAAAAATTATGGTAGAATAATTAGAATACAATTTTATACCAGGTTGGCCCCGACGGCGAATATGGAACCACTGGACTTCCCGGTCAAGCCGGTTCACCCGGAGACGCTGGAGAACCGGGTGCACCGGGAACCCCTGGAACCCCTGGAAGTCCCGGACCACCTGGACCCATGCCAGATGTACGATAGATAGCAGTTCAAATTGAACCGTGCCAGATATAATATAGTGGTTTCAGCGTTTATTAGGCCGTAGGCCTGTCGCCGATTCTTAACATCGCAGAACATTCACAGCTTGTTGCGGTCTCGAACGCACAACTCACTGCTTCAATTTTGCTTTGCTTAACCGCCCGGCCTCCTCGCCGATTCTGACCAGAAACTACAATACAAACTACTACAATAGTTTGCAATTAAAATTGAACCTTGCCTGGTATACGATAGATAGCAATTAAAATTGAACCTTGCCAGATGTACGATAGATAGCAATTAAATTTGAACCATGCCAGATGTACGATAGATAGCAATTAAAATTGAACCATGCCGGATGTACGATAGAAAGCAATTAAATTTGAACCATGCCAGATGAACGGTAGACAGCAATTAAAATTGAACCATGCCAGATGTACGATAGATAGCAATTAAAATTGAACCATGCCAGATGTACGATAGAAAGAAATTAAAATTGAACCAAGCAAGATGTATGATAGATAGCAATGAAAATTGAACCATGCCAGATGTACGATAGAAAGCAATTAAAATTGAACCATGCCAGATGTACGATAGATAGCAATTAAATTTGAACCATGCCAGATGTACGACAGAAAGCAATTAAAATTGAACCATGCCAGATGTTCGATACATAGCAATTAAAATTGAACCATGCCAGGTGTACGATAGATAGCAATTAAAATTGAACCATGCCAGATGTACGATAGATAGCAATTAAAATTGAACCATGCCAGATGTACGATAGCTAGCAATTGAAATCAAACCATGCCAGATGAATGCTAGATAGCAATAAAAATTGAACCATGCCAGATGCACGATAGATATCAATTAAAATTGAACCATGCCATATGTACGATAGATAGCAATCAAAATTTAACTGTGCCAGATGTACGATAGATAGTAATTCAAATTAAACCATACCAGACGTACGATATAGCAATTCAAATTGAACCATGCCAGATGTACGATAGATAGTAATTAAAATTGAATCATGCCAGATGTACGATAGATAGCACTTCAAATTGAACTATGCCAGATGTACGATAGATGGCAATTCAAATTGAACCCGTACACGTCAGAATACGTTTAACTATTTCTAATCAAAGCCCTATTTCAATTTCATTGACGAATAAGTACGGTTTATAATCATAAGTTGACATATCCTTCTTGTCTTAGTATCTATGTGCCTTTAATTTTAATAACATCATGTAAATTAAATTTTACATTTTCTTGGCAAGGTGGGGTCTGTTTTCTTCTTTATCAAAGCTTGGATTTAGATTTAAAATATTTATTCAACAGATCACTTGACTAGTTCATGCATAAATCTTGCAAATTATTTAGCAAATTATTTGGAAAATATATTTCACGAACAAATTTATAGTTTTTGAAATTTGATATATCATAGTAATACATTTTTCCCAGATCGCACCTTGGTTGTCGCAATTGTCCCAGTCCCAAGGAGGAGAAAAGGGACCACAACCTGACCCGTTCAGCTACTTGCAGGCCCAAGTGGGCCCCATGGGACAGCGAGGCCCTGTTGGTGAGTTCATAAACGATTATTAGCTTTACCAATTTTCCTCACAAGAATAAAATCTCTTGAGATGGAATGGATGATGGGATTATAATCACTTTTCAAAAGCGATAAGGAATAAATAAAAGATTATTACTCCAACCAATTTTCCTCACAAGAATTAAATCCCTTGAGAAAGAATAGATGTTGGGATTATAACCACTTTTCAAACATTGCATAAAAGTAAATGGTAGGTAAACGTATGAAGTATCATTATAGTATCAAAACGCGATAAGGAGTAAAATACGTTCAAACTGGTTTGTGGTTAGATCGTATATAACATTTCCATAGAACTATTTTCCAATTAATGTGATGTCAGAATTGTTATAAAAAGCGAATTAAAAGTTTGCCTAATTACAACACTTCTCTTTGAATTCACTTCTTGTTTGTCAGCTACAAATCTTATAATCGATATTTAACACACTTTTACCTGTCCAATCGATCTGAAATCTTACACACTTGCGTAAAGTTGAAGACAATGCATGAATCAATTGACAGAATAAATAATTTTGATAATTAAAAAATTCATTATTAAAAAATTTTAAAAATATATATTTTAATATTTAAAACTAAAATAAGAAATTCATTGTATGTGTGTAATATCGGAGACACAAAATTCTTTAGAAGTGTTGTCTTTAAAAATTAATTTTTCAACACCTTATTTTTTTGTTCAGGTCCTTCTGGTCCCGCTGGGCCCCAGGGTTTCCAGGGCATCAGAGGCGAGCCTGGCGAGCACGGGCCAGTGGGTCCACCTGGGCCACCTGGGCCACGAGGCATGCCGGGGCTCAGTGGCAAAGATGTGAGATAAAAACAATATTTTAATTTTCAATTAAGGTAACAGAAATATAAGAAAATGTAGGTTACAAATAGCTGAATGAAATTTTTGAGGAAAGTCTATTAATTTTTTTTAAGAATGACAAGATTTGAAAGAAATATCATTATTTAGTTATCTAATTTTAGCTTATTTAAAATTAATTTAACTTCTTCATGGAAAAAAATTAAAAACTTTTTAATCGAGATGAGTGTATTTATTTCCGATAACCACGAAAGTTTTCAATTAAATAATTAATTCTATATTTATTTCTGATACAAAATAAAATTTTGTATAAATTAACTAATTTAATATTTTTTTCGGATAAAAAATAAAATTTTGGATAATTAATTAATTTTATATATATTTCTGATAACAAATAGAATTTTGAATAAATTAATTAATTTCATTCCGTCCGCTAGGGAGAAAATGGCGACGATGGAGCACCGGGTCCCCCTGGGGTCCAGGGCCCCCCTGGGCCACGAGGCCTGCCTGGCATGCCGGGTCTGCCTGGGGCCAAAGGGCACCGCGGCTTCCCAGGCTTGGACGGGTCTAAGGGCGAGATGGGGGCTACTGGAAGCAAGGGCTCCGCTGGACCCGGCGGCCCTACTGGACCCGTGGGCGCCATGGTGAGCTGGATTAAAATATTTTAATTGAAATTAGAGAATAAATTAATATAGTTTTAATATATTTATAATTGAAATATAATATATATAAGATGATTATAATTAAAATATGATATATTCAATTTAATTAAAATTAAAATATAATATATATATATATATATATATATATATACAAATATAATATAATTACAATTAAAATATAATAAGGATTTGTACAAAAAGTTATTAGTGAGTAGCAAAAAAATGTTATGAGAATGAACGAACTATTAGTAAAGATTTTGTGTTATATTTATATGAGAAAATTATTAATTTCGAAAAAAAATTATTCACTTCTTCAATTCTCTTTAACTATAACTTATAAATACAAGTATATAAATAAATATAAATATATAAATAAATATAAATATACAAATAAATATAAATATACAAATAAATATAAATATAAATTTACAGGGCCCAGCTGGGCCTCGTGGAGAAAGAGGCCGTGAGGGACCGCCTGGGCCACCTGGATTGCGAGGCATTGATGGCATTGCTGGGCCTCCGGGCCCCTCTGGAGGACCAGGCAAACCGGGCCCACCGGGCTTCCCTGGGTCAGCTGGGGCCAAGGGCGACCAGGGCGTGCAGGGCCACAAGGGCTCCGTGGGTCTCCAGGGCCCAAGAGGTTTGCAATTTTGCATTAATATTTTTTTATTAAAATTTTATCAATAATATTCGAGAAATTATCTATCATCAATCGAAAATATTTTTTTCACTTGAAAAGTTGAAATGTGCCATTCGTTTTTATATAGAAGGTCGTAATTTTGAGCGAATTTTTGCTATACATATTCGAGACCAACATTTTTACATGTAAATTTCAGTAGATTAAAATTCTGGCGTAATTGAAAAAAACATTTTCACTAAATGTCAAGATTTTTAATAATTTTTTATTACAATATAAAGTGAAGAAAAATATCATTATCAAATCATTCGTAATTCCTGCAGGCGACTCATTATTAAACATTCGTAATTCCTGCAGGCGACTCATTATTAAACATTCATAATTCCTGCAGGCGAGTCATTATTAAACATTTGTAATTCCTGCAGGCGAGTCATTATTAAACATTCGTAATTCCTGCAGGCGACTCATTATTAAACATTCGTAATTCCTGCAGGCGACTCATTATTAAACATTCGAAATTCCTGCAGGCGAGTCATTATTAAACATTCGAAATTCCTGCAGGCGACTCATTATTAAACATTCATAATTCCTGCAGGCGAGTCATTATTAAATCATTCGTAATCCCTGCAGGCGAGTCAGGCAAGCCAGGTTCGCCAGGCGAACAAGGCCCTCGAGGCATCCCAGGCAAGGATGGCCTCAACGGAGAAAAAGGCGCCCCAGGAAACCAAGGCGACCCTGGCCCCCCTGGCTTCCCTGGGGCGCGTGGCCCCCCTGGACTCTCTGGGAGCCCGGGCGTCGCGGGGGCAAAAGGCGCGAGAGTGAGTGAAAATTACGATAAAAAATCATGAAATTTTTATCGAAAAATTTCGAAGTATATTATTTGGTTCAAAATTTGTTATTTGGTTCGAAAATTGTTATTTCGCTCGAAATTAAATGCTCGTGTTAAAATTTGTTATTCGGCTCAAAATTTATTGTTCGCTCCTAAATTTTTTATTCAATCCAAAATTTATTTTCCGGTAAAAAATTTATTTTTCCAGTAAAGTGAAAAATATATTTTAGACCGGATCAAACCTCAAATTATCACAATTTAATTTCAAGATTTAACGGTTAAAAGACTATAACATTCGTATATTTAGGGAAGAGTTTAATATTTTAAATAATTTTTGTTAGAGCCGTACTTGCACATGGTTTAAATATTTTGTTTCAAAGGGTTTGTTTCTTCACCAAAAATTTATTATGGTAAAAAATGCTCAATTCGTCAGGGTTTGAATGGGGAACGCGGCTTCAAAGGAGACCTCGGCATGAAAGGTGAAGCCGGGGCTGCGGGTCCCCGCGGTCTGCCCGGACCCGCGGGCTCCCCCGGAAAGCGCGGGAAGCGGGGCATGGCGGGGCCTCCCGGGGGCATCGGGCCCCAAGGGGAGCGTGGGCCTCCTGGAGGTCGTGGCCTACCTGGTGCAGATGGACCACCGGGACCGAAGGGTTCGTGAATTATTTTTCTCCTAATAAACCTGAAATTAAGTTTTCTAGCCAAGTTCAATAATCTCTAATGCTGACAAAATCTAAATTTTTTCTTATGAAAACAATTATAATCTATGAACCATCAACATACTTATCCGATTTTTCAATATACTTCAAGGAGAATTAGTATAACACAAAAGAAATTTCCACAGTACAAGGAACTTCTTCAGTTTTTTCGAAAAAAGTTTTTTAAAAATAGTTTTTATCGCAATACAGGCGGCTCAGGAGACCCAGGCGTCCCTGGACCCGTGGGTCCCAAAGGGCGTGATGGAGATCCCGGAGCACCAGGTCTCCCCGGGGCCCAAGGCCAACGTGGCCCTACAGGAATTTCGGGCCCACCCGGCAAGACAGGACGGCCAGGAGATCGAGGCCTCCCAGGGGCTGACGGCAAGCCCGGGGACCAAGGGCCTCAAGGCATCCAAGGCCTTCCAGGCCCAATGGGACCACCAGGGGCCCGAGGACTTATTGTGAGTGCTTTTATTGTGTTGCTTTCACCAAACGATTGCCTTTGCTAAAATTAAATAAATTAGATCATGATAAATTTTAAATTTTGAGGGCTTAACAGGAAATTTTTCGCAAGTAATATTTGATAATTCACGAATGACATCTGTTGCCATGTTACATGTTTTTTTAATATTCTCTCTATTTGCTATAACAATCGCTTTTTATCTGTAGGGTGAGCCCGGAAAAGACGGATCTCCCGGAGACCACGGACCACCCGGACCTCGAGGCGACGCTGGAAAAGAAGGTTCACAAGGCCCAATTGGCCCTCCTGGCCCTACTGGGTCACCAGGTGAAAGAGGAGCACCGGGACCACCTGGATCGAGAGGCTTCCAAGGGTTGCCTGGAACTCCTGGAAACACCGGAGCTGCTGGAAAGGACGGAGAACCTGGACTACAAGGAGCTATTGGTCTTCCTGGGGCCGCAGGAATGAGGGGTGCACGTGGCTTCCCTGGAGAACGAGGGGCCCAAGGGCCACCTGGAGCAGCTGGAGCTCGAGGAGAATCTGGAATGCCGGGACCCGATGGCCCACCTGGTCTTGTCGGCAGCCCTGGACAGAAGGGACACGCTGGAGCACCTGGTTTGGTGGTGGGTGTTTAGCTATTTTTTTTGTTAAAATTTTTTCGGAAACCACTGTCTCACTCAAATATTATGGTTACAAAATTACATTGTATTTGCCAAAGAAAAATGTGAATTGAAAATTTTATCGCTCTAACCAAAATTTAATTTGCTAGGGTCTTCCTGGGACTCGTGGTCTCCCAGGATTGCCTGGAGAGAAAGGAGAGCGTGGGGCCCTTGGACTGGTAGGCCCCGAAGGCCCACCTGGAAGGGAAGGCAAACAAGGACCTCAAGGTATCATGGGCCCCAGAGGTCCTCCTGGAGAGCCTGCAGACAAGGGAGATCCTGGCCCTCCTGGACCACCTGGAGAACCCGGAGCCAATGGCATGATTGGTGAGCGCGGTCAGCAGGGCCCTCAGGGTCTTCAAGGCTTCCCTGGCCCAGTCGGACCCGGTGGTCCTCCGGGTCCCAAAGGTCAACGAGGTCTTCCTGGTAGCAAGGGAATGCAAGGCAACCCTGGCGCGGTGGGACTTCCTGGAAGCCAGGGACCTCAAGGTCTTGCTGGCCTTACTGGAGCTAAAGGCCAACGTGGCCTCTCTGGTGAGAGAGGTGAACCTGGCCTCATGGGCCCACCTGGACGACCTGGAAAAGATGGCCTCCCTGTGAGTGAAAATTACTATGTTATGTATGAATACAATTTAATGTGTTTTGTATATATTCAGTATTATCTTTTGCTGTTGGCTTAGTACGTGCAACAAATATGTTACGTTGCACAGTTTTCTCCAACTCCTCGTCTCTGCATAATATGGAAATTTTTTCTATTCACGGTAAAATTAATGTCTAGATTCTACCGCAGTTTTGGCTACTTTTGCAGCTACCTTGATATCGTGGCGCTCAGGTACAAAATTTACATGACAACCTGAATAAACTTGATTTCCCACTCCATCATCAAGGGCGCTCCTGGCAATACTGGACTACCTGGAGTTCCTGGAAACCCCGGCATTAAGGGCGCGTCTGGAGATACTGGACGTCCTGGATTGCCTGGCCCATCAGGACAGCCTGGAGCACCTGGACCCGAAGGAATTAAGGGCGAAGCTGGACCTGAAGGTAGAGTTGGGCCCCTTGGTCAACCGGGTCCTGCTGGAGCTGCTGGAGAGCGGGGACTGCCAGGTCTGCCTGGAAACCAAGGCCCACCTGGACTTAGAGGACCTCAAGGAGCACCCGTGAGTTCTGGAGCAAATTAAGTAAGGAGTCATCTATAAATAATTTATTATCAATATGAATAAATTTCAGCCCCGTACTCCTACCTATCATCCTTCACTTATTAATTGCTCTCCTTCACTCGCTTCATTCATGTAACTTTGCACTTCCATCTATTGCCCATGAAATTCTATGATGCACTTCATACCTCCCGATTGTGACACTTTCACTCTCAACTATCATCACTTCTCTCGGATTTTGCCCTCTTCACTTTCAATTATTGCTAATTTACTTCCAGATTGCACTCCTCTCTCAGCTATCTTTACTTCATTTCCAATTATTTACTTTCCTTTTTCAAGAATTCTCGTGTTGGAGCCATCTCCTCTCCACTGCCTACTATTACCCTTTCATCTCTGGATCGATCATGTACTTCTGAATGCAGTAGCATTACATCAATAGGTAGTATTTATTTACATATTGGAAAAGTATATAAAAGACAAAAGTTCTTTGAATCTTAAATTATCTCTAACTTAAGTCGTTCATTTTCGATATTTTACTCAAAAAAACATCCAAGTATTTTTATAGTGCAATAGTTAAGAAACGACAATTTATTTATTTATTTAATAATAACCTTAGTCGTTTATTCCTGATATTTTATTAAAGGATTGGCCGAGTCCATAGAAACACGGCAAAACATTCAAACATTCATTGCATTCATATTTAGTTTTTTTTCATCACATTCAATAAAAAAGTTAATTTTAGTACAATTTGTATGGAGAGTATATATTTGTACATTTATACAACATTTTCCAGGGTGAACAAGGCACAGAAGGCAAACGCGGTGCAGAAGGCCCCCCAGGACCTACTGGGATGCCTGGGCCCATCGGTCCAGTTGGCCCCGTGGGCGAGACCGGGTCCCCTGGAGCAGACGGCAAGCCTGGCCCGCCTGGACTGTCTGGACGAACTGGTGACAAGGGGCCTCAGGGAGCACCTGGACGGCAGGGAGGAGCTGGACCTCCTGGACTGCCTGTGAGATAAAAATAATTTAATATATATTATCGAATGATATATATCAATTCATTAAATTTAAATATGCCTTTGGACGAAAGTGAACTTACCATAGCAAAGGTCACTATTGTTTTTTCCCATGCTATTTGTAAAATAATTCTCACATTATTAAGTTTATTTATACATTTCATTGCTATTCAAATTTATTCATTGCAACAAACTGAATACTCAATTCGTCCTCGCTGAATTATAGTTTTCAAATTAACTTTTACTTATGAACAACTCTAAAAATTTGGTTGAGGGAATTATCTCTGAAATATTATTTGAAATTTTTGCCGAGTAAATTTTCTATTATGAATATTGAATACGATTGACTGCAGGACCACAATGTTTTTTGAACTTGTTTCTGTTCCTTCAAATAAAATTGAAGAATGTGATTGAAAGCTTTAAAAGTTATATGATTTTAACTCTTGCTAAACTTTGCCACCGATAGGGGCCTCCTGGTTCCGCCGGTCCCATTGGCCCCACTGGAGAGAGAGGGGAGCGCGGTGAGAGTGGCCCTCAGGGAGTCGAAGGCCCTCCCGGAGTTCGAGGTAAACCTGGTGCCCCTGGCCCTCAAGGAGACAAGGGCGACACCGGAAGTGCCGGACCCAAGGGTTCCAAAGGCCACAACGGGCTTATTGGTTTGCAAGGTTTGCCCGGTCCAATTGGTCAACCTGGAGAAAAAGGCCCACCAGGTTCCGTGGGTCCTGCTGGTCCACCCGGAGAGCCTGGCCAGAAGGGTCCGCCAGGTAGAGATGGAGGTATCGGACTCCAAGGTATCATGGGACCACCTGGACCGCGAGGTCCCAGTGGAGAGGAAGGTAAAAGTGGACCACCTGGTGCACCAGGTCCTGCTGGGCCCCCTGGTCCACCTGGAGAGTCTATGGGTTATGACGCGGCAGCTTTGGCGGCTCTTCTTGGACAAGGCCAGACGAAGGGACCTGATCCTCTGCAAGGCGATGACTCGACACTTCCTGCGCGAATCTTAGGCCGGGAAATAAGCGAGGATGAAAGGAGAGAACTTATCGTAAAGGCCTACGAGCAACTCAAGACTTCGTTCAAGAAATATCTTAAGCCTACCGGATCCAAAGAAGCTCCTGCCAAAACGTGCAAGGATTTGAACTTCGCTCATCCTGAACTACCAAGCGGTGAGTACTTTGTTTGGAAAGATTTTGAGAAATCTGCAACCGGTTGAATTTTATGCCAATTTTCAATAAAGTACAATTGAAATGAAAATTAGAAAATATAATATAGGATTACTTCCCCATAACCCTGACTGTGACAAGGATTTAGGCGCATTTAGTTTAACCACATTTTTTGCAATTAGCTGATTTATTGAGCTTATGGAACTTATTTTCGTGTCCATAGGCGAGTACTGGGTTGATCCCAACGAAGGAAGTGTCAACGACGCGATTGTGGTTCACTGCGACATGGACCAACGGTCGACATGCGTTCTTCCGCAGCCCGGCATGACTCAAGAGTTTAACTGGCAAGGAGACCCACAGGGCATCGTCTGGTTAGGCGACACCATCCAGCCTGACCAAGAGGTGAATAGTCAGAATTGAATAGTGAAGAGGTACAGTGAATTTAAAGAAGCATCTCACCTTGAAGAAGAAGTTCGTAAATTTAGTGATTGGCCATTCAGAATGACTTAAACAAGGTTGTAATTTCCATATACTGATGTTGGAGTAAAAGATCTGAATGAGGGAATTTCTGGAGGATCTTTCCTCATAATGAGGTCAATAAATTTCATCAATTACTGTAAGTAACAGGTTCCACCTCAACAAGTCTTCAGCAAGACGTGCCTAAAGATTTTGATCGGGAGGTTAGTTTTATTCTAGTTCTCGAGTTCCACTTTGGTGCAGCCACTTTTTATCTTGGCACAAGGTTGAGCTGGTAGGCCATCTTTCTTCATCAAGAAATCAGCTACGCTGAATATATTTTGATTGCAACAGTCTGTTCAAAATCGAGCATTATCGCGAAATAGACAGCCGTGAAAACTGACCGCGAAATGAATCGTAAGAAACCGCTGAGGCTGTTAACCCCATTGACATACCCCCATGAGGCTGTTAACCCCATTGTTAACCCCATTTTTGAGTTTAATCACAATCATTGTAGCTCATTGTCAGCTAAACCGAGATGAGACAGGATAGCCATGGGTTCCATCAGAACCTTAGCGAACTCAGTTCATTTTTTGGTGTCGTTGTTGGGGGTCGCATGAAAGACGTCGAAGGTGGTGCATCAGCACAACCATGGGTGGTTTTTCTTCGGGTTACCTGGAGTGATACTTGAGCCTTCATGTATAAACCATAATTTTTCCGTACAGTTCCCCTACAGGGTCGACAGAACCAAATGGCGTTCCTCCAATTTTTATCTTTATTTTTCTATTAGCCGTAGATTTACATTGGGAAAACTTTTCATGATAAATAGACTTTCATCAAAAATCATTTTTCTTCAAAAAATGATTTTCATCAAAAAATGATTTTTCATCAAGAAATGCTTTTTCATGAAAAAATGATTTTTCATCAAAAAAACTATTTCTCGTTGAAAATGGTTTTTATTTTTCATTATTAAATTAAATTAAAAGCTTATTTTTCATTAAAAACTATAATAATTTTCCCCGTACAGTTTACCTACAAGGTGGACAGCAACCAAATGGCGTTCCTCCAGCTTCTCTCATCCAAGGCGAGTCAGAAGTTGACGTATCACTGCAAGAACTCCGTCGCGGTCTTCGACGCCAACAACAGAAACTTCAGGAACTCTTTGAGGATCATGACGTCTTCTGACCTCGAGCTCAATGCTCGTGGTAACAAGAAAGTCCGCTATTCTGTGCTCGAGGATGGATGCAAGGTAAATTTGAGAAACTATAAATAATAAATTAGAAATATTTGTATTTGACGTCTGTGGGTCCGATCAAATTTAGAATCCAATAGATAGAATATTGAAAAAACAATCAGTGTTTTAATACGCGTTCTCATTTAGCTTGTTATGTATATATGCCTCATTTAAGAAAAATTTTCTTTAAAAAAAATTAATATTAAATTAAATATATTTGTATTTGACGTCTGTGAGTCCGATCAAATTTAGAATCCAACAGATTGAATATTGAAAAAAACGACCAGTATTCTAATACACGTTCTCATTAAGTTTGATGTTTGTATATGTATCATTTAAAATTTAATTATACATTTAATGATTTTACATTTACATTTATTTAATTTAATTTCAGACGCGGTCCAATAACTGGTCTTCGACGACGGTTATATACGAGACCGACAGGCCGCAGCGCTTGCCGTTTGTGGACATCGGCATGAGGGACATCGGGCAGCGCAACCAGTTCTTCAAAGTGGAAATCGGACCGGTCTGCTTCATTTAGGCCCGATCCTTCTCATTGCACAACGATGTTATAAATTTAACAAATTATGGGACTTCAATGCCAAAATTTAGTGCTACCACAACTATGAACTCGCAAAAAAAAACTTGAATTTACTTGAAATATTTTACATAACAAATCATATAGCGTAAAAAATGAAAAGCAAATACTAATAATCATCACGAATAAGGCGCTTTAATTAGAGATAACAACCGTGAGAGCGTAATTGGTGCATAACACTATTACAAAAATAAATTACACAACTACATTTATGAAGTCGAGCAATAGTTTTGCCACTGTTTTGGCATCTATAGATTAATATAAAGCTAACAAAACTGCCATTTTAAATTAGCATAATTCTCGAAGCTTTCTTTTATTTCAATGTTTACTTCAGTTATTTGCCGAATGGGAGTTAATTTGGCATTTGCAACGGACTTGTATAAACAACATTTTTTCTAGCATTAAGGAATATCGCCCTCCTCCCTTTCTTTTTATTTCTGAATCTATTTCTATTCTTGGACCTTCTAAGTCCAAGCTAGTTGCTGTGACTCAGTTGATGTTGTTTAAAAAGACCCAATTTAATAAGAAATTAACTTTTCTTATTTTAATTGTGGCAAGCGATGTACAATACGTCATGTGATTGTGTATGTGTGAGCGAATGTGTGTGACTTCGAGCAAACTGTGTACATTTTGTATAGATTCTAGTTTAAGGAACGATCGAATGGGATCGAATCGACTTTTTGTACTTGGGAATTAAAAAAAAGAGAGCATGACATGCACTTTATTTCAATAAACGAGAAAACAATAATTTTGCATTTTTTCACATCATTTTTGGAAAAAGGCTAATAAATCGAAAAAATCCTCTGCGTTTCAAACTTCTATTGACAGAAAGTTCCATAACGTTCAAAATAAATTATTAATTAATACTGGTCTACCGATTGAATTAATTCTTTTTTTTAGATCTTATTGTAGTATCTGAAAATTTTTTTACGAAGCAAAACACTCAATTTTTGCGTCAAATCAAACTTTTCCTTAATATGAGTTTGCTAATGATTTACTTAGTCATATTTCACGAAACAAAATACGTATTATTCCTATTGAAATAAACCCTTTTAAATAATCATCCAACTTTCCGACACAAAAAGTGGCTGAGACGCTAAGGATCTCGAAATTTATCGAGTTTTCAGTCATATTATGAAATCTTCAGAGAGAACATTGATATAACCTTTGGAGCACAGTAAAATAATCACAAATTAGGCTGCATCACTTGTTCCAACACTAATGAAATTCTGTGCTCCATTTCACAATACAAATTTACGCAACATTTGCTTCAACTTTCGTCCAATTTTCCTGAAGGCTTAGAACATTGTATCGCCAGACTAGTAGGTTCCATACTCCTCAACTCCATTGTCGTTCAACCTTGATGCCACAATCGACGAATTTCCAGTGAATTTAATTCGGAATAATTCGAAATTCATCACCATCACTCGCTGTTACGTTGTCTGCTGTAGAGGAATCACGTCCAAGTAGAGGCGGTCTTCAGAGTTAACTTGAACGCATGTGCCGAAAACCAAAACCTTCTGCGATGTCGTTTTGGAGGAGTTTTTCAAATCCTTTTCGGTGCAGTTAAACACTTGACTCATGATGTATACGTTGGCTTTTTCAACGTATTAAGTATCTTAGATTTAGTGCCCTCCGAACGACATGTTGAATGCGACGTTTTTGCCTCCATTAGGAAGTTAATTTCGTACTTTTCCACTCTTCTTGCACGATTCCTTCGTTTACTTGTTGCGTACTTAGTTCAAATGAAGAGAATTATTTTTTCCATCCATCCAATTTCCATAAACTGAACACGGTCCTTTGTACGATTCCAACCAGTCAGCATTCGGCAGAACAATAGCTTTGGCGACATCGTTTATCCGCAAACTACAACCCCATCCGATGATCTGAAGTAACAGGAGCTTTGTTAAACAGCACTTCTGTCGAACCGCCATTTCGCAGAGCTAAAATCCGGAAAATTTACCAGCAAAATGTTGACGGCTTAATATTTATTTACTTCAGTACTCTGCCATCGATATGGTGACAGTTCCTTTATTGAAGATGCCTCTTCGCTCGTATCTTCGCTACGCTGTGATTCACGGCCGAACTTTCAGCGTCATGTTAAACTAAAAAAAAAACTGTAAATAACATACATAGGAATAACATTGCTCACTAAAATAATAATTGCAGCTCCCTGGCGACACGGAGTAAAGTGAGAGCTCATTAATTCCTTCACGTTGATCATTAAAGGAAGAGAGCTCGCATCGATCGCTTTCCCTTCTTTGTATATCCTTGAGGCTCAACGAGTGCATTATAATTTACTTCAGATTAAAGGCGCCATCCGCCCTAGGGTGTGACTGCACATAGAAGCTGCCATGACGAACACAAATATGAAGGATTCTACACTCGTACTCTACAAAGAACACTTGAACCGGCATTGAATGTACTGGCATTGAGTCGCACATGCATTAATTTCGACAGATGTTCGCGAAATTCAGAGGGTTTCTTGCCTTGAATATACGTGAAACTTTACGAGTTTTGATATTCAGGTTTCATTGCTTCCTGCATCAATAATGTCGTTTTTTTTCGTGATTAAAAAAATTTTCGTTTGATATATAATAATTTTTTTATTTAACATCATTGATATCAAAGTTCATCCTGTCATTTTTACCCAATGAGGAAAAAATAGGAAAAAAATGTTTCAATTTACAATTAAACTCAATAAAATAGAGAGTAGCAGGATTTTCCTACATATAACATATGAGAAGATTCACCGGAGCTCATTTATTCAACAAACGCACCTCGTTCCAGTTTTTTAGAGCGTATAATGCGTGCAACGTTCTCTCTCTCACTCTCTCGCTCTCTCACTGTCTGTAACTTTTTTCTCTTTCAGTCTGTTTCATTATAAACCATTAAGCCAGAGCTAGTATATACCAACACTTCATCTCGAACAATGAAGCTGTTGCAGACCTGCGTTAAATTTGCTTATGCGTGCCTTTTGTGCGTTGAAATTACCCGCATTAGAGCTAACTCTCTCGGTGACACCAACACACTGTAAGATAAAAGTGTGTGAGAAACTTTGGGAATTTTGATGAAAATTTCGATATTAAAATAATTATCGTGAGTGAGCTCTCACGGTGGTTTTCTAGAGCAGCTGCCATCCAATATTCACTCAACTGCTCAAAATTGAATCAAATGAATTAATTTTTATATCAATAAACTAATTTTGTATATAAATAAACTGATTTTGTATATCAATGAACTAATTTTATATATCAATAAACTAATTTTTTGTATATCAATAGAGTAATTTTGTATACCAATAACTTTATTTTGTATATCAATAAACTAAATAAAACCAATAAAAATTTTTTTGGAGCAGAATTTATATTGATGAGGAGTGACACCATAAGCAACCTATGCTATTCCATATAACAACCTATGTCATTTACTTTCGATACGTTTGAATTTCTCTTTTTTATAATTGAAAATTAAGTAATAATTATTTTTTTATTCACTATTCAATTTGTTAACATACGTCATCGCACAAACCCGTGTTGTTAGAAGTACAAATTATAAACAAATTTTTCCAATAATTAAATTCAAAATTTTATTTGCTAACCCAAAATTTTCGCCATGCATTCTTTTGGAAACTCGAAGCTGCGTCGAGTTTCAACCAACTTATCAACTGCGTTGCTTTCAACCAACTACTTATGAAGCACTCCTGCAATTTCAACCCGAAAGTTTTTTAGGCTGAACATTGAGTTCCCTTTCACCGGGAAGCGCCAGGAAAAATCCCAAAGTAGGAAGAGTTAAAGTGAAGCCGAAGTGAGAGCTTCACTGGAGCTTAACTCCAGCCGCTACGCTCAGCTGATGAAGCAAGGCTGTTTCATCGTCTTTTGTTCTCGTTAATTTTCACAAAAATATTGTTCTTTATGATGTTTACAAAACTATAGTTCTTTCTAATGCTTTCAGAATTGCTATTCTTTCTAATGCTTCCAAAACTATTGTTCTTTCTAATGCTTACAAAACTATAGTTCTTTCTAATGCTTTCAGAACTGTTATTCTTTCTAATGTTTCCAAAACTATTGTTCTTTCTAATGCTTCCAAAACTATTATTTTCATTAATAATTGCGGAACTATCATTCTTACCACACTTCCAATACAATTTGTTCACTAATATTTTCGAATTGATTGAGGAACATATTTAAACGATTGACGATGATGTTTGACTGATTGAGGATAATGTTTGAATGAATTAGGTCGATATATATATAAAATCGAAGACGATGTTTGAATGATGGAAGCCAATGTTTAAATAACCGAGGTTGACGTTTAATTGGTTGACGGCGATGTTTGAATGATCGAGGACCGTGCTTGGAGCGTTAAGACAATGTTTTAACTGCTGAATGTAATGTTTTAATGACGATGGTCAAATGATCGAGGACAGTGTTTGGAGTGTTAAGATAATACTTGAGCAGCCGAATGTGATGTTTTAATGACAATGGTCAAATGATCGGGGATGATATTTAGATGGCTTACAATAATATATAACTAATATAAGTGATCTGGGACCATATTTAAATGGTTAACGAAGTAGTTTGTATGTAAGATGACGATATTTGAATGCTCGAAAGCGATATTGGATTGCTTGATGACCATATCCGAATTATCGAAGACGATGTTTCAGTGATAAACAAATATGTTTGAATGATCGAGGACGAGATCTGAATGGTTGACTACGATGTTTGAATGATCGGTGATGGTATTTGAACTGCTGGTGACGAAGTTTGAATGATCGAGGAGATTATTAAATTATAAAAATTATGATCTTCAGCAGACGAAAATAGCTGCAAATAAATCCTTTTATTACAAGATGCATGGAAATCCCGCGCCCAGCGACGAGCGGCTGTTTATTGGTAGTTTATTTCCGTCCAACACTCATTGAAATAAACGAGTCTTTGTCCAAATATCGATGCGCATTCTTTTTGCCCTCATGTTGGCCACCTTGACACAATTTGTCCCAGAATGTATCAGTGCTACTTGCAGCTAGGAAGCGGGTCGCTATTTTGGACAGTGTAACTAATTTATTTTTCTGAGTGAAAACAATTAGCAGCTTATAGAATGTCAGCGACTGACATCGCCCAGGTCGATATTACCGACTGCAGGAAATTATCATGGTAAGAGAAACAATAAAATCTATGAGTTATTTTTTGAAGACGTTATGTAAGTAATGAGATTATTACATAAGAAAATTTATACTACTTCTATAACAACTCAATGAACATAGACATAGATGAAGTAATCAGAAATTCATGTTATGACTTTGATATATTATCTGCGAAATCTCTAAAATATCAATATTTTGCTTGCAGAATTTTTTGGTTATAGTTGTCACAATAACTTACCAGTTGCGACTAGAAATTTCGAAATGTTATGTTCTTTTCAAACATAAGAACTTATCATTCGTACTTAGAACTTGGCATCGTTTTTGCTTACTCATACATCACATGGGATAAAGCGGAATATTGGGATAAATTGGGATATTTGGATAAATTGGGATATTTGGATAAATTTGGATATTTGTATAAATTGGGATATTTGGATAAATTTGGATGTTGGGATTAATTGAATATTGGGACAAATTGGATATTGGAATAAATTGGGATATTAGCATAAATTGGGATATTGGGATGAACTGGGATGTGGTGATAAATTGGAATTTTTGGATAAATTGGGATATATGGATAAATTGGGATATTGTGATAAATTGGGATATTGGGATAAATTGGGATATTTGGATGAATTTGAATATTGGGATAAATTTGAATATTGGGATAAATTTGAATATTCTGGTAAATTGGGATAGCGGGATAACTTGAGACATTTGGATAAATTGGAATATCGAGAGAAGTTGGGATATTGGGATGAATTGGGATATAGGAATAAATTGAGATATTTGGATAAATTGGGACATTTGGATAAATTGGGATATTTTGATAAATTAGGATTTAGTGATAAATTAGGATATTGTGATAAATTGGAATATTGGGATAAATTAATAACTGTAAATAAAATTTTGTTATTGCTACTCGCTTTAATTCGAGTTAAGCAAGTAATTTCATATGAAATTAAGCCATAGCGATCCATGTCAAGCCAAGTGAGAGCGAATAACATCCTATTAATTATATCAATGCAAGTTACGTTAAATCTAGTAAAATAGGATCATGTGAAGTCAAGTACAGCGCGCCATGTCAAGCATAGTCTTGTCACACACTCTCCCCGGAACCCGACATACATGGTTCAGTCGTTCGCCTTTCGCCCATCTCTTCCTTTCACTCTCGCTGACCCTGAATAGTGTATCCGGGTCAGCTTCCAACCGGGCATTGCTGCTTCTACAGCCGGAAACCCGGCACAGCACGGGTGTGGTGACCTGGTGTTATTTTTTCAAGGCTTAACATTTATTTAACATGATATATTAATTATCTATTAAAATGACATTAAAAAACGGTGAATTCTATTAATCTTTTAACAGGTTGCCTTCACTCAGTCATATACAGTGAAAGTGAGCGAGTATTTGCAATGAAAAAGTATTGACCTTAGATCAATTGGATAGCAATGCCACGGAAAATTAAGCAAGAAAATTTGTATTTAAATTCAATGTAACATAAAGTAAGGTTTCAATAATATTTACCTTATTAACAATGAACAAATCTCTAATAGTTTTAGTATTTTTTAGTTTTTTAGTGTTCATATTTCAAATTTCATCTGAGATCGCGGAGGAAACATATTATAAAATTGACAAATTTACATATTTTGAATTGTGTTAGGAGATGATGTAAACTGAATATTATAATGAATATTATTTTATGTGAGATTTGATGCCGCGAAACATATTGGGTTTGTGAAACGAAATCACAATAAAGTATTATTTATTGATGAATATATAAATTGAAAACATGATATTCCTGAACATTAATTTGAATTGTAAGCATGCATGGGTACTAGACCTGAGATCCATACATTTGTATGTATATAAAAAATGTTTCTTTGAAAACCAGAGAGTATGCCTTATTGAAAATTTTACGAATACTTCCTATCTTTTAGTAATAATTGAAAAATATTCTCTGGTTTTCAACGAAACGTGGTTTATAGAAAAACTTCTGCTTAATTATACTAATATTCGTTAACTTGTATATCTTGATGATATAACTACAGTGGGAGATTACATATTTCTTATTAAAATCTCTGTTTAATACGTACGACAAAACACGAAAAATTCTATCAAGTTAAATGCAATGTCCCTGACTAAAACAGTTTTAAACTGAATTTAAGGCGATGACTAATATTGAGTCTTTTATTAATTTTCCTGATAGCATTCTGGAAACTTTGTAAAATGAAACTTATAAATCACAAGCTTAAAACCCGAAATATATCATAATTCTAAACATGACGATGGGAACTCATATGATGCCACCTTGAAAATCCCAACTCTTTTGAAACTTCCATTAACTGGAAACTGGTGTTGGTAATTGAAGCTGGTAATCTTTTAAAGCTGGTAATTTCCTAAAGTTGGTAATTTACAGAACGCTTGTAATATATTTTACTATTTTACTTTATACAATGAGGCAAAAGTAAAGTGGAACTGAATGCACATGAAGCGCAAGTGTATCTAACTTCGATAAATGTTAAAACTAGTCATTTCCTTCCCATGCTCTCACGTGGTTCAGGTCAGACCGAACAACAATTGAACGGAAGTTCCAAACGCTGTAAGTTCCAGCAATGTTTCATGCCGAAGACTTCGGCTACAACAAACTTTTGATTTCACCGAACCCGGCAAGCAGCTTGGCATATGGAGTCAGTGTGTCACTGGAACGCTCGCAGACAGCAGCTTTTGAGGCTAGGTCTAAAATATTTTTTATTTAAAATTGTTGTTGGGTTTGTCAAACCGTGATTTCAAATACAAGAATTTTATTTTGGTCGAATATTTTAACAGATTTCTATTGAATAATTGATTCTGGTCACATTTTCCGAGCATAGAAGAGATTGTAGCATGAACTTTGATTGCCTGGGATAAATGTTTCAATGGGAAATAGTACGAGATAGCAACTTTATATATCCTCACACATAGAATAAATCAAATTGAGGCAAGAGCGCAGCCCCTTCACACGCAAAAAAATGAACGCGTCGTATTGTCCGAAAACTTGCCCACTTTCTGCACGTAGCACGGATACGCCTTGAAGTCTGGCCAAACTGAATCAGGATGACCCATACAAAATAAAAAAGCCCGTAGTTATTTGGACAATGACCTTCCCCTTTCTCTGAGTGCAGAGATCTCTTTCCAGCACACGTGTGCAAGCCGCATTGAGCGAGTCAGTGTGTCGCTAGAGCGCGGGCGGGTAGCAGGTCTGGAAAGTAACGGAGAGGTCGACCAGTGAACGAGTGCGTAGAGTTGAGAGACAATCTCTCCTGCTTGTCAGCTGCCATTCATCAATCAGTGATAATCTCTTGTAGTGATTGTTGATAAATTTTTTAATTGACGGTTAAAGGTTCTATTTACCTAATGTGGAATTGTGCAGAACCTAAATGTATTCATCTCTCAGCACAATCTCTTATAGTGACTGTTGCTAAATTTTTTAATTGACGATCAAAGGTTCTTCTATTTACCTAATGGGGAATTGTACAGAACCTAAATGTATTCATATTTCAGCACAATCTCTTATAGTGATTGTTGCTAAATTTTTTAATTGACGGTCAAAGGTTCTTCTATTTACCTAAAGTGGAATTGTGCAGAACATTTCAATGTAAATCGATATGGTTAATGCTGATAAGTTTACTGAATTTTGAAAAGGATTAATTGGAAAAAGAATTTTAAAACAGGTTTGGAAGAGAAGGACTGTCAACAAAATTCCGGTTTGTAATGAATTGCATTATAGGAAAAATTTTGCTTTAAATGATTGTTTAAACCAAAGTTTTAAAGTGATTTGCGGCAGGTTTCCATAAATGTGCATTATGGTTTTAAAAAGTTGATAGATATTATTTGAAAACTGTAGACCAGTAGTATGATAATATTTATAACTATATTCAATTTACATTCGAAGAAATAGTAAGATTGAACGGATGAAAAAGTTGTCAACTTCGGATTTTCATGTATGCGCGAGCTTTTTATTTTCTTAACACACATTACTATTTCATTTCAAACTCCCATTGTAAAATTTTCCGTCAATATAGTTACTGATGTACATACAAAATGGTGAATTATGTTAAAAGTTAAGTTTTTCTTGTAGAACGCAGCTGCTAATGGTTGCAGGAACACAAAAAACCGTCTTCATATATAACCATCCCCTCTAATTAGGAAAAAAATAGTTATAATTTAAAACCTAGAGTGTCTTGCTGTGTTTAGTGCTGAAGAGAAACAAGGAGCAGCACAACGATGCAGGCTCACAGATGATGACGATGCTAGAGGCTCAACGAAACGAGCTCACTGCAGCGGAGAACCCGCCAGATGTTGGTAAGTTCTCCTTATTTGTATTGTTTTCAATGTGTTTTCCTTCGCCAGTAGTTCACCTCGGTGTGCTACTTATACCTCTGTGCTCAAGATGACATGGATCTCGATTTGAACCTAAAGTTCGTTGACTAAATATCATTTGAATGTATACTAAACAACGTTAGCAGTTCAATGATATTTGAAACTGCAAGAGACGCTGGAAGATAACATATATTTAATCACCAAATACAATGCATGGAGAATTGCAATACAAAAATTTCAAACTTTACGAGTTTAAGCCAAGATTTTTTAAATTATGAATTCATTTTAAGAATGTATGCATTGATGATGAATATATGAAAAAATACTAATATAGAATTATGTAGGAATGCAAGTCATCGTGAAAATAGGTTTTGCAAAATTTATTTCGTTTCATTAAAAAATGGCTACACAAAAAAGTTTATCGAAAATATAATATTTTTCTCGCGAAGAAAACAGCATTGACTCACTCAGTAGTAAAAGTTGGCACTAACTCAATGGGTTTGTCACGTTTACACAACCATAGCCTTGTCCTCCATTGAAGTATCAGCTTTCCTGCGAGTAAAAGTGATGAATGCCATACTAGGGGCAAAAACATGTAATGCTTTAAAGGGGAGGCGAGAAAGTTTCTGTTCGGATCCTTCCCGTCTTTGTTGGTCGGGGATTAAAGTAGTAATTTAAATTTGTTAAAAAATTTTGCTGCTGCTAGCCTTGGTGCTGCACGGATTTATGCTTTGAATGCAATTGCTATGTTATAGTATGTTGGTCGGGGATATTAAAGTAGTAATTTAACACCAGACATGCAATGAAATGATGTAATATTCATCATGACATAAATTGACGTTAGGAAGGAAGTCGTGCGTTCTGTATATCGTATTGTGTTGGGGACTTTTTGTCGTGTTTTGTCAAGGGAAAAGTTTTAGTCGATTTCAAATCTATGAACTTATATATATATATATGAACTGGGGTGACTCTAACAATAAAAATATTTTCCTAATTATATTTTTGTGATTTTACGAAAGCATTTGAAATAAATAGAAATTTTGATAAGATGTGACACATCTCCAAAGCACGCAGCAGCCGCGGTTACGTACGCTGCATCCAACAATTGCATTTAGAGTCCAATTTCATGCAGCATGAAGGACAGTTGCAGCAATGCTGCATCCAACAATTGCATTCAAAGTATAATTCCATGCAGCACCAAGGCTAGCAGCAACCGTAATGCGACATCGCGGTTCAGAACTGCACTCGCCTACAGAGGCTGCAGAATCCAGAAGCTGCAACGCTCTGTCGTCCGTCACTTTCTCTGCTAGCACAATAGGTTTGCTCTGACGCTGCAGTGGACTGTATGGAAATGAGTTCCGAACTTACAATTGTTTTAGACGTTTTTAGAGTTGGTTTTCTGAATGATTTTGATATCAAAATATGGTGCAAATTATCACCTCGGTTTATAATACTGAACGTTTGAAACGTACCGCCCAATTTAAGGGATGTTAACGATCATAATTTGTAATAATGATTAGTTATAATAATAATAATAATAATAATAATAATAATAATAATAAAATAATACTAATAATAATAATATAATAAATATAATAATGATAGTAACAATAAGTATAATGATAATAGTAGTAATAATAACAATAGTAACATTAAAAAAAGAGTCTCATACAATAAGCCAATTTCAAGTGGACGAAATATTACCATCCATGAGCTGTAGGTCTGTAGGCCTGGGGCTTCTCTTGTTCCTCTAATTTCTGATGACTCATGAGCCCGGGGCCAAGACTTTCGCTTGCTGGGCGTGCGGGCAACAATGTCCGATTTCCTGTGACGGGATACTTAAAATTATTGAAACATTGTGGCTAGAAAAATGGTGTATATTAAAATATTGTAGATAGAAATATGGTGTATATTGAAATATTGTAGATAGAAATATGGTGTATATTGAAACATTATTAAAACACTGTAGATAGAAATATGGTGTAGAAATATGGTTGTAGATAGAAATTTTGTTGCTAGCCAATTTTTTAAAGCATGTTGTAGATAACGGATTTTTTAAGGCAATATAATATATAGCAATTTGTTGAAAGCAATTTTTAGAAGGAGAAATAGTTTAAAGCAATATTATTGATAGAAATTTTTTGGAAACAACATTGTAGACCGCGATAGATTCAATGTTGTATTGAGTCGGTACATCTGCGGTTAATGTATACACGAATTGAAACATGGATTTGAACCAATCAGTCCTTACGGGTATCGTGGGAATTGTGAAATATGCAACAGTTTTGCGCACTATTTATGCCGTTTCAATAAATAAATATGTAAGGGCTAATTTTTAGAGCGTCAATAAATTTCAATAACGAATGATTGTTTGAATGATTTCGGTAATGATTGGGTGATGTATGGTTTTACGGTCATATATATTAATGTTAACGAAACACTGACAAATAATAGTGTATTTGGTTAGTCGAAAGATTTAGGTGAGATTTAATCAGAAGTTAATAATTTCTAAATTCTTACATTTAGCTATCTTTCTTTCGAAACTTGAATAGGAACAATTTCAAGTATCATTGAAAATATGTAAAATTTTTATTAAATTTTTAGTATTTTTTCCTTGACGTGCATAAATAGCGTGGCAAGTTAAAGCCAAATAATTCAATTATCTAGAAATTCAAGTCAAGACTCAGGATATGTCTCAACTTAAAATCCCGGTACATAATTACGAAATTTATTAGATGTTAAAGGTCAGGCTGGCATTTCCAAATACCTTCTGCCAGTCTGCTTCTTCTTTTCTTCAAACCCGTTCCTGACTTTCGTTGGAGGAATGTTCGTCGGAGGAATGTCCCTGACAATGATTCATGCTGCTTGAATGTTGCCTCTCATCGGAAACCAAAATCGGTCTTGGGTTTTCACTTTTGAAATTTTTTTCCGAGAAAAAACACGTATTATGCAATGGAGTTAGGACATATGATTCATATATACTATAAATATTAGTAATCTGAGGAACAATTCTTGTACAAGTAGCGGTAACAAAATTTAAGGTTGCTGGACTACTTACAATTGGAGTTAACTTGTAGTAGTGCAATGTAAAAAGGATAATTATCAGTATACTTGATATTACGTAACACAAAATTTCCGAAATTTTCCGGAATTTTCGGAAGAAACTATTTATTCATGCCTGGAATAATTCAGCTGATGTTTAAGCATCTACGTTACGAGAAGTATTGAACATTAATTGAACCCTTATGTGATTAAAAAAGAGTTATACAGATTACGATCCGATTGTTTTTAAATTCACACCACTTGTCTAGACAAATATGGTGAATGCAGAAAATCGGAACGAAATTAAGCTTTGTGAAATGAAAAAATTTAATGATAGCTACAATCACATTTAATTAGCGCTTCTGTGATGAACATTATTTCCTTAATTTGCCCCTGCATAAATTTTCTTAACTCGTCCTTTTAAAAAAAGTCTTCATCTGAAGAGCCTCGGGAGTAATTGTCGTCATTGAAAATGTAATTAAAGTGAGATAATTAATTACGAGGTCCATTACGAGGTCCCGGCCTTGTACGCCGATTGCGAGATGATGCTGTACATTGTCTGCAACCTCAATGGAGGAATTGCAAGGTTCTTGTTCCATTCATGATAAGATGGAATATTCCTCAATTGATTAGCATAAACAATATAAGGGTTTGAAACCAAGATGAAACCAAGAAATGAATCCCAAGAATCTAATTGGGCAATTTTTGTCGTGTTTATTCATTTTGTAAAAAATTTCTTCTTCAGAGTGGTTTATAGAGAAAATGAATCCAAAGAATCTAATTGGGCAATTTTTGTCGTGTTTATTCATTTTGTAACAAATTTCTTCTTCAGAATGGTTTATAGTACGATATGTATAGTACGAATGGTACGAATGGTTTAAAGTGCTACGATATAAATTGCAAATTTAACAGGCACAAATAATTTAAAAAAATAGCATCGGAATCTTTGACTAATTATTGGCCAATAGAATGCTTACTTTGAAAAAAAAAACTCGTCTCAAGCTTATAAAACATTCGGTTTAATGAAAAATCATACCAATTAAAAAACTTATAGAACATAAATACGTCGCCATGCACAGATCTTGGTCTTAATAGGCAATAAATTTTCAAGAATATAGCTTCCGTATTTGTATTCAAATCCTATTTGCAAGCAGAAACTGAATGCATCGCATGCCATTGTCATTACGTACGCTGATATCATAGCTCTGCCTTTATGTTTACACATGCGACCAGCTGGCTGCGAGTGCTATATACATATATGCTCGTACGAACAGCTGACTGATAGTGCTATACATATGTGCATGCGACCAGCTGACTGACAGTGTTATACATACGCATGCGACCAGCTGACTGACAGTGCTATACATATACGCATGCGACCAGCTGACTGACAGTGCTATATATATACGCATGCGACCAGCTGACTGACAGTGCTATATATATACGCATGCGACCAGCTTACTGACAGTGCTATACATATACGCATGCAACCAGCTGACTGACAGTGCTATATATACGCCTGCAACCAGCTGACTGACAGTGCTATATATACGCATGCGACCAGCTGACTGACAGTGTTATATATACGCATGGTACCAGCTGACTGACAGTGTTATATATATACGCATGCGACCTGCTTAGCATGTAATAATTACGCGGTGGCCCTCGTGCGTACATGCGTACGCGCGCGGCTTCGACCGAGCGAGCGGCCAATGGGCCACGACAAATGTTCAAGAAGCTAAATAGTACATCGCAGCAGCTATTAAAAGCGACTGTATTTGGGTGTGTTTAAGCTTAATACTTCAGCCGACCTGGTGCATGGAAAATTGTTATGGGAAGCGAACTTTAAGTGATGGAAGCTTGTATGAATTTTCTGGGTCACCGATGATAAGAACTGAAAATTCCGGCAGTAAAAAACTCAATAACCTGGAAAACTTGCT